CCCCCCCAGCTCTGCTGGTGCCCCTCACTCCCGACCTGCAGCCCCTGCTAGCCCAGCGCTGGGCTCCTCTCCCCTGAGTTTTTCCAATGCATCCTGATTAATCCTCACCTCCGACTCCCCCTCTCTTGCGCAGTGGGGCTGGGGCAGAGGGGCGCCGCTCGGGCTGCGTCGGGTCCCAGGGTGGGGGCGTTTGTGCGGGATGCCCAGGGCTCCGTTCCCCGTTGCAGGTGGTGACGTGCGGCCCTCTGGAACCGCCAGCCCAGCAGGCCAGCGCCACAAAAACCATCCTGGCCTATGAGACGCCGAAGGACTCTGGGCACCTCCTGCACATCGGGGTGGAGACGGAGGAGGCTCAAGTGGGGACCTCGCTGAGCGTCTTCTTCTACACGGAGCACCAGAGCTCCGACACCCAGCAGTTCACCATCCTGGTGAGCGCCAGGCCGGGGCCAGCCTGGGATCCGCTGCGGGATGCGTCCGGCCCCCTGCACAGCCGGCGCTGGGCACCCCTGGCGTCAGCAGCAGTGTCCGGGGCCCAGCACCCGCGGGGCTGGTGGGGCTGGACAGGCCCCGGGAGCTGGGAAATGCGAGCGCCCCTGTGCGTCGGGAACCGCAACCGTCTGTCTGGGGAGCCCCCGGGGCTGGCGTTCGGCCCCCCCGGGTCTGTCTGTCGCCCCCCCCCGGGTCCGTCTGTCCCCGCCTGGCCCCCGGCCTCCCGGGTCTGTCTGCCCCACACGCCCCCCGCCGGGTCTGTCTGTCCTCACACCCTCCCCATGGGTCTGTCCCCACACCCTCTGGGTCCATCTGTCCCCACACGCCCCCACCATGGGTCCATCTGCCCCCCCACTCCCCGTGGATCCTGGGCTGGTGTTCAGCCCCTGGGGTCTGTCTGTCCCCACGTGCCCCCCACATAGGCCCGTCGTGCCCCATACCTGCCCAGCGCTGTCACCGCGCCGTCTGCAGCACTGAGTGGGCTGCTCCCAGGTGGTGGACGCGGGCGCCCACGTGGATGGCTCCCGGGTGGTGCCCGGGCACTGCCCAGCCCTCGGCTCTGCAGCCTCCAAGCCGGTGTGTGCCAGGAGCCGGCGGCTCTGGACTGGGCTCCCACGGGGCTCCCTGGGGCTCCTGGCGTCTCACCGGCCTCCCTCCCTCCCCCAGCTGCTGAGCAAAGGCAGGATTGTCCGGGCCTGGACCCAGCCCCGCAGCCTGGGCACCGTCATGACGGCCTGGACGCTGGACGTGGGGCCCGAGCTGCTGCCCTCGTTCCGCATCGTGGCGTATTACTACCTGCCGGGCAGCGCGGAGCTGGTGGCCGACTCGGTGTGGGTGGATGTGGCGGACGGCTGCATGGGCACCGTGAGTCCCTGGGGCGCGGGGCGGGAGGGGGCTGCGGCCAGACGGGCCTTTCCCTGTGTGGCCCCTGGGTTCCGCTCCCTGCGCCCTCCACATCGGGGCAGCCCCGGCCTGGGGTGGGGAGGGGGCCGGGTGCTCGTCTCACCCCGTCTCCCTGTCCCGCCCAGCTGCGCGTCGGCCCCCAGAGCAAGGACGAGAGGAAGCTGTTCAAGCCCCAGCGGGAACTCAAACTGGAGGTGACCGGGGACCTCCACGCCATGGTGGGGCTGGTGGCCATGGACAAGGCCCTGTTCGCGCTCAACAAGAAAAACAAACTGACGCAGAAGAAAGTGAGAGAAGGCGCTGACCGTGTGCGGGGGGGGGGAGGGGGCAGCCTGGGAGCCAGGACTCCTGGGTTCTCTCCCCGGCTCTGGGAGGGGAGTGGGGGCTGGTGGGTTAGAGCAGTGGGGGCTGGGAGCCAGGACTCCTGAGTTCTCTCCCCTGCTCTGGGAGGGGAGGGGACGGGGGGCTGGTGGGTTAGAGCAGTGGGGGCTGGGAGCCAGGACTCCTGGGTCGTGGCAGGGGTCACCTGTCTCTCTGAGAGCCAACGTGCGCTCCTGTCCCCCCACACCCCTCCGGCAGGTCTGGGACACGGTGGAGGGACACGACATTGCCTGCACAGCGGGCAGTGGGCAGAACCTCATGGGGGTGTTCACAGACGCGGGGCTGGACGTGGCCACCAGCCTGGGGATCTCCACCAAAGCAAGGACAGGTAACGCACGGACGGACGGACGGATGGGGCTTCCCACCAGGGGGCAGAGATCCCGGCACGGCCCCGGCCAGCACGTTCCACACAGAACGGAGACGGGGACAGGACAGCTCGGGGCAGGGAACGGGCCAGCGGGCCTGTCCCCTCGGCGGGGCGCCGGCTCCCATCCAGCCCCAGGGTGGGGACTGGCTGGCTCAGGGGGGCCGGGAATGGGGCCTTTCCCCTTTAGGCAGCAGCCTGGCCTGGGTACGTCCCTTTCCCGGCCTGACGCCCTGTCCACACACACGGGAGGTGGGTACAGCCCCCCTGGGGCGACGCTCCGATCCCAGCAGCCTGGTTCAAACCAAGACTGGAGCGTCCACACGACCTGTAACTGAACTGGTTTCAATCCCCATCCCACACCTTTGCAAACCTGGCGCCCTTCGGTGCAGCAGCCAGGCCTGGTCTCTGGAGGCGGGGGAGGGGGGGCCCCTGGGGAACCGGGGGGGGGGGTCTGGGGGGGGGGGGGGGGGGGTGACTCGGGGGGCGGGGGGGGGGGGCCCCCCCACCCTGCCGTCCCTCACCGCCCCCCTGGCCTTGCAGATCTGCGCTGCCCCCAGCCGGCTGCCAGGCGCCGGCGCCGGTCCCTGCAGACGCTGCAGAAGAAGCAGCACAAAGGTCAGGAGGGTTTTTTTTGGGGGGGGGGGGGTCCCGCTCCGTCACGCCAGGCTCCCTGTGCCCCACCCAGAGCGCCGTGCCCCACGGAGCCACCCCGACCCATACGGAGCCCATCACCCGCCGCAGGCCTCAGGCCGGCCCCCGGCTCTCTGCCCGCCCAGCATGGCGCTGCCCCGCCGGCGCGTGGCCTGGTCCTCACGCCCTGCTCACCCCTGCCCTCCGCAGCCGGCTCTGGGTGCTCGTTGGCACCTGGCTTCCCCGGCTCAGCCATGGCCCAGGGCCCTCGGTGAGGGGCACCGTGTCCGCGTCTCTCCCCTGGGCCCGGACGCCTGGGTTCCACCCCTGCCTGTGCTGCTTGCCCCAGTGGACCAGTACCAGACGGCCCTGGAGAGACGGTGCTGTGAGGCCGGGATCCAGGAGAACCCCATGGGGCACTCGTGCGAGCAGAGGACGAGCCGCGTGCACCTGGGCCCCCCCTGCGTGGCCGCCTTCCTGGACTGCTGCCGCTACGCCCGGGCACTGAGCCGCGAGGAGCGCACCAAGCTGCTGCTGGGGAAAAGTAACCGCGGGGGAGGGCCCAGCCGGGGGGGGGGGGGG